TTTTTTAAAATTAAAAGTAATTTTTAATAAGTATTTTTTTTTTATTTAGTAGTGAGCAAGGATGGGGACTTGAGTCGTGGAACTTGCTATCAAGTTGGGCTTAAGTCATGCGGGTGACTTGATTCAGGGTTTGTTTTCAATGACTTGGCCTTGACTCATGACTGGGACCCCCCCCCCATCCCTCCTTTCATTTCTTGTTTTTAATAGGGACTCAGACTTGGGACTTGGGACCAAAGGCTCAGACTTGGCCGTGAGGTCTGGACCCAAAGACTTGCCAACACCCGACATGAGCGCAACGTGTACAACTGAAACCACTCAGGAGTGTCAGTCCAGTCAAGACGTCTGTGTTTCATCTGTCTCAGAAGTCACCATGAGTAAGTAGGGTGATGTATCTCTCCTACAGCCGGACATTTCTGTCAACCACAAAACGCTGGTGGGGGGGGAGTGTAAGGAGCCACTCTTTGACTTGACATGTGGGCTAAAGCTTCTATATTGCTTTGGCTGTTCTATCTATTTCTTGAGTTAAAACTCCACCTTTTGCATATTAAGCCAGTCAGAGCCACTATGGTGCAGCACACACAGAGTCAGACATTAGGGCTCTGCAGAACTGGGTTCAAATTGTTGTTGTGGGTTTTTCGGGCTCTTTGGCCGTTGTTCTTCCTAACGTTTCACCAGTCTCTGGGTTCAAAACCCTGTTCAGTCCCCGAAACTCACAGGGGGGCTGGCAATTTCAAATCATTCCTTCCACATCTGACGTGCCTCAAAGATACCACTAGCTTTTCTATATGTTGGAAGTGACCAGACAGCAGAGAACACTATATTATGTCATCAGCACTGGAATTATTGTGGTTTATCTGGTCAGTTTTTATTGGACTACCTTGGGAGCTATAAAAAGTCTGCCAATCTATGTTAGAAGATAACAGGTTTCCTCATCAGGCATCATGTTACAAAAAGTAGGTGGGGAGAATATTGTTGCTAAAGCCATATAGTTTGCATGCTGTTTTTGAACTGTAATGATAAGAAAGAGAACTGTAATGATAAGGAAATCATTAAGAGCAGCAAACTTGCCCAGATTTTTATGCCTTTGAAATAATAATCATGTGCCAATTCTGACTTATGGTAAAAATTTTCAGGATTTTCTAGGTAGAGAACACTCAGAAGTGTTTCACCCTTCCCTTCTTCTGGGGGTGTCCTGGGACTGTGCAACTTGCCCAAGGTTACCTAGGCTGGCTCTTCTCCCAGGAGGTCCAGTGAGAAAACTCTCACCTCTGGCTCTGCAAGCAAGCAGAAATTTGACATAATTATAGCACCTTCTCTGAAAAGAAGCTTCTTCAGATCCCCAGGAGACCAAAACTGGTCTGACTGCCCCTCCATCACTAGTCATTTTTGTCCCATTCTTCCCCTTCACAGATGACTTGAGGGTGTCCTTATCTTTCAAATCGTGCCTTGACCATCGGTTCTGCCAGGCAGGCTTTTATACTGCCAGTGTGGAAGAAGATGTTCACATTCGGACCCAGATCACCTGCTGCCAGGAGGACCAGTGTAACAGTGGGGCTCTTCAGTGTAAGCATCCCTAGGCAATGATACAACCCCATGATGCAATATCATTCCCTGGGTCATTCTTAAGGAGCAACATGACCACAGGAAGAAGACCACAGTCAAGAAAATATTTGAAGTCTTGGAGGAAATGAGGTCTTTAACGTTCAGGGGTAAAAAAAAGATTGAAAAAATGTTAGCCCCAACTATATGTAACTGTAATGACCGGTTTTTTTTTCCCCACCAGTACCTGATCCGGAAAAGCTGGTTGCCAATGGGTTTCAATGCGAAGTCTTGGAGGAAATGAGGTCTTTAACGTTCAGGGGTAAAAAAAAGATTGAAAAAATGTTAGCCCCAACTATATGTAACTGTAATGACCGGTTTTTTTTTCCCCACCAGTACCTGATCCGGAAAAGCTGGTTGCCAATGGGTTTCAATGCCCTGGCTGCTTTTCCACCCATTCGGATGACTGTGGCAGTAAAGGAATGGACAGCTGCACACAGAAAGAAGACCACTGTTTCAACCTGGCTGGTTCCATCAAAAGAAGTAAGTCTTGTGAGATGACAGAGAGCAGGAGTCTCCCTTTCTTTGTCCTCTCTGTCAAAAGATGTTTTGAGTGATGTTCGCTCCTGGCACTCAAGTACCACATACAGAGACTTTGGGCACTCCAGATGTGTTACACTACAACTTCCAACATCCTGGTCTGTACTGCCAGTGACAAGGGACTATGGGAGTTGTAGTCCAAAAAAATCTGAATTGCCATCTTTTCCAGCAGAGAACTGAACCTGCTATGTTTGCAGGAGAGACTAAGACTTTGCTATTAAATGAATGAATAGTCTACGTATTTCTAATAGCATGAATTATAATGGTGCATCTTAGATAGCTGTTTTTTTTAAAAAATAAATTGTTTCTCAAAGAATATCTTCTTTCTTAACAGGCATTTTGAATGGAAGGAGTGCTTTCCAAGGTTGTACGACAGCCAAGGCATGCAGCTTCAAAAATGAAGCAGTAAAGGCAGCAAATCAAGTTTTTGGAGCCCAGATTTCCCAGGCAGACTGCAAACCGGCAGAAAAAGTTACTCCCCCCGCCCCTAGAATCGTAGAATGAAGAAAATGAAGTCATCCAGAATGCAGAACATTGTCTAGTGCAGAAAAAGTTACTCCCCCCGCCCCTAGAATCGTAGAATGAAGAAAATGAAGTCATCCAGAATGCAGAACATTGTCTAGTGCTTAAGACCGGAGAGATTTCGATAAGAGGACTGGTTGCTCTTGGTGGCTGCAATGAGCCGCCATGACTGCAGAGCTGGAAGGGACCTTATGGATCATCGGGTCCAGCCTCGGTCAACGAATCCCATTGGGAGGATTCGAACTCCCA